GCTGGCTGCTGGCCCCACAGCTGGTTGGCACCAGGCTGGGGTCCCCTGAAACCTGCCCTCCACTCACTCTCTGCAGTCAGTGGCTCTCACTGCCTCTGATGTTACAACCCTGATCGACAATCACTACCAGGAACATTGTTAGCCTGACATCCCAAGATCCATTTCTCAGGCTGAAGACCGAGGGAGCCAAAAAGTTGGGGAGAAAGCTGGTAACTCTCAGGAGATTTGGTGTTTAAAACATTCTAAGATCTAAGTGGATTTTTTTTCCTCATTTACTCCCGGATCCCAACATTTCCCCGCTTAGCTAATCAGCCACAGCTGGGAATGGACGTGGGCAGCACAAATAGGGGCTGGGGTATGGCAGGCTCCAGCAGGCTAGCCAAGCTGGGAGGGAACTCGACTGTTTATTTGGAATGGCTGTGCCCCGCCTCCCAGGGAGTTCAAGCGGTCAGATGTGTCCAAGTCCATTAGCGAAATCTGACAGGAACGTCACTGTGCTTGTAAAGAGGGCCATGGCGACATCCTCGTGCCCAACAGGCATGGCCACAGGTTGTTGCTAGAGGAGGGCAGGGGTGAGGGGTCAGAAGTGCTGAGCCTCAGGTGCTTCTGAAATAGATGTCTACACCTGTGGAGCCTGCAGGGACTCCACAGGGCACACCAGCGTGCCCACAAGGCTGCCCGGGTGCCAGCCTCTGGGTCCAACTGAAAAGAGAGGAGACGCCGCCAGCCTGTCTCTTTGGGACACAGCCTAGTGTCTGGAGTTGGACAAATGCCTTCAAACCTTGGCTCTCCTGCTATCTGGTTGCTTTGTGTCCGTGAGTCCAAGCCTGTGAAGCCTCTGAACAGTAAAGTGGTACAGGGCGCTGCAGTGACTCTTCTCTAGACAGCCAAAGCCTATTCCCAGGATCACAAGGACATAGGCTTCTGATTTCAGTCCTTCCCATCCAAAAGCCATATGTGTTCCCTAAGGCTGCCATACAACTTGCTACAAACTTGATAACTCACAGTAGAAACATCTTGCCACAACTGGAGGCCAGAATCCAAACCCACTTGTGGGCAGGGCCAGTCCCCCTGGGCCTCTGAGGGAGGACCTGCTCCACGCCTCGCTCTAGTGGCCGCTAGTAGCATCGACCTCTCTTGGCTTAGGGGTGTAGGACGTCATCCTCTGCCCCTGTCTATGTGGACTTCCCGGAAATTGCTGTCTTCTCCTCTGCCCCTTACAAGGGCACATGTCACTGGGTTCGGAGCCCACCCGAATCCAGGATGATATCATCTTGAGGTCCTTGCCTTAGTCACATCTGCTGAAGACCTTTATTCCAAAAAGGTCACATTCTGAGGTTCTGGATGGACATTTCTTTTAGGGACCACAATTCGATACACTACAGTTCACCCTCTGATCCCCAGAACTTCATACTCATACCACATGCAAAATAAACATGTACCCCATTCAACATCTCCAAAGCCTCAGCCATGAAAGTATTAACTACGCCCAAAATCTTATCTAAAGAGCAGTTCAGAAAAGTCCCTAATCTCATCATTTAAATCACCTAACCAGGAATGGGTGCTGCCTGCTATCTGTCCTGGGGCAAAATGCCTCTCCATCTGTGACCTAGAAATCAAGTCATCTACTTTAAACTACAATCCTGAGATAGGCGGAGGACAGACATTCCATTCCAGGAGGGAGAAAGTGAAGGAATACAGGGGTCATGGGTCCCAAGTAAGTTTAGAGCAAAGCAGGGCAGAATTCAATTTGATTTAAGACCCGAGACTGGCCCTCTGTGGCTTGATTCTCTTCTCTCTGGGCAAACAGAGGATCTGGCTCCACAGGCCCTGGCCTCTGGGCCCATTTTCTGGCCTCTGCTAGTAGGTCTGGGGCCCCATGCAGACTCATCTTTTCTTTTCTTTTTTTCTTTTCCTTTGAGATACAGCTTTCCTAAATTGCCCAGACTGGGCTTCAACTTGCAATTCTCCCACTCAACCTCTCAAGAGTGCTGAGATTTCAGATATGTGCCACCTACACCCAGCTACCCTCCTCCCTTCCTTAGGACACTGTGTGTCTACAGCTAAGTTGTTCTATTTGCCCATTTCCTGCCTGTAGAATTCCATAATTCTGACAGTCCCCTGGCCCATTTTGTCTGGTCTCTGTCCCTTTCTGTGCAATGTTTTTGCTGGTATAACAGTCTCCAAAACCATGGGGTCTGACTCATACATGGGGATCCATGCCATTAATCAAGACAACTCCCCACATGTCCATCTAGATAATTGCACATCTATTCTTGACCTCTGCAGAGGAGCTTGGCAGGACCTATTCACACCTAATCTCTTCAACTAAGCTGCCCAGCCTCCCCACAGCCACTCCAGAGCACACTTTCTCAGTGGTGAAGCCCTATCTTGTGCATCCTTGGCAACAGAATAGGCTACAAACCCCCAAATCGTCAAGTGCTGGTTCTTTTTTGCTACAAATTCCTCCCTTAGTCCATTCCTTTCCCCTTACATTTTGCTATAAACGGCAAAGTTCGTGAGAAGCAAGGCTGCATCTTCCACACTCTGCTTGGCAACTTCCTTGGCTAAATATCCAAATACAACCCTTATTGCTTCTGCTTTTCTTGACCAGTAAATCAGTGGACCAGCAAGTAGTGGATGCCACGAGGGCTGCACAGTTAGCTAGGGGAACAAAGCAAGAGAGGATGAAATGTGTATCTGCCAAGCACTTGTTGTGTGTGCAGAATCAGTAACTGGGAGCTGACAAGCACATTCCACCTTTATATGGATGAGAAGTGTAGTCACCGAGCTCAGGATGCATCCCCTCAGATACACCCACTTGCTCACCCTGCGCCGTCTGCCTCAGTCCTCCTCTGTGCCACCACAGCCACTGTCTCTCTGTCTAAAACCTCTTCGTCCCTTGAGAGCCTCCGGTGCCCTAGTTCAGACTCCCAGCTCCTCTCCCAGGATGCCCTGCATCTCCCAGGGGGCAAGGGATGCTGGGTCAGGGTGAGCCCTAGTGGTCTGATGGAGGAACTTGGGGACTGTTAGGAAATTTAGCACTGATTTATTTTTTATTCCAACTAAGAATCAGCACACAGTCACAACTCTAATCTTATTTCTGTTAAATATAAATTTAGTTTATTTTCATGGTTTTATGCTTTATTTTCTAAGATTTACAAGGTTAGCTCTGGCTTAAAGTGATTTATGTGCATCTTTAGAGGGGGATCTAAAATGGCATAGAGGAGGGGTTACTACCAAGCGTGGGGTGGATTCTAACCCTGGAGGAGGGCACAGGGCATGAAACCTGGCCAGAGCAAGGCTTTTTCTTTTTATGGTTGGTCCACCCTAGTCAGGAGAGTTCCCCTTACACCTCTAGCCCCCGCAGGAGGAAACAACAGCCACAGCACTGTCAAGTGGATGGGGAGCCTTTGAATAGGGGAACCCTGTTTGTTCCTGTCTCCTGCTCTAGAGGCAAGCACACAGGGCCTGGCAGCCACAACCCTTTCTCCTTTCCATGCTCCCAGCAGGTGCTGCTATTACACCCCTCCTGCTCCATGGCATGGTTCATTTTCTGTACCCACTTGGCTGGGCCCTGGTGCCTGGCTACATGCTCAGAGATCATCCTGAGGGTTTTGGTGAAGGTTCTTTGTGTGAGATTCACGTTTAAATCATGAGCACAGGAGCCAGGGATTTAGCTCAGTGGTGCTGTCACCTGCCTTGAAAGTGCAAGGTCCCGAGTATGATGCCTGGTACAAAAAAAAAAAAATTCCTAAGCACAGTACATCCCTCCCTGCAGAGGAAGGAATCAGCCATGAGATGGCCTTCTAACTGCACCTCTACTGGGGTCTCCAGACTCCCACACTACCCTGCCAATTTTATTTTTATTTATTTATTTATTTATTTTGGTACTACCCTGCTAATTTTAGATCTGCCAGGCTCCACAACTGTATGAGCCACTTCTATAAAGCATATGTCCCTCCACACAGTTGCACTTGGGAACCATCGGGGAGATTAGTCAGACTTTGCGGGACTCAGATGTTGGGGTACCTCTCCATTCCCACACTGAGAGATCTGTGTCTCCCACTGGTCCTCTTCTTCAGAGAACCAGACAGTCTGCCTTGGCCTAGCACCCAGGCAACTGCTCCAAGCAGCAGCCACACTGAGCCTACTGCCCCAGGGCTGGGGCTCAACCTGACACCTCCTTCGGCCAGCACTGTCCCTGGCCTGGGTCCTCTTACAGACTGAAGAGCTGGCCTGGCTCAGCTCCTGGCAAGTCCTTGTCTCCACCTTTTCCTTCTGAAGTGGGAGGAGAGTTGGGGAGGCTACCTCTTCTTCGACCTATAAAATGCAACTGTAAGAAAAACTCTCTGGAGAAGGGGCTCATCGAGGCCACTGGACATCTTTTAAGTGAGGGCTAGGCTACGGCACAGGCAGTGGGGGCAACAGCGGACCCTCGATGCCCATCCTCCCATGGGCATAGGGGGATGGTGCAGTGTCTGCCACAGCCGCAGGGAGTATGAATGATCTGAATTTCTCCCTCAGTGATTGACGCTGAGAATCACGAGATTCAAGTTGTGTCTGATTTTCAACTTTTGTGCCTAAGAAAAAGGTACCCAGAAATAACCTCACTCTTGTGTCCATCCTGACATTCGGGGCCCCCAGGACCTGAGTGTTGCCTGTGTAACCTCAAGAGCACCTCACTTTCTAGGGCCTCAGTGTCTTATCCGTGTGAAGAACACCTACCCAGAACTCTCCTCCTGGGACACCAAGGATACCACAAGCATGGTTAGTACAGCTGGGAAAGCAAGAGGCTATGGAGCCAGCTGGGGCAGGGCAGCCCAAGGGTGGGGAGCAGGAGTGAGGACAGAGCAGGGGAGAGAGGCTGGCAGGGGCCTGGCTATCCCTGCAGAGCAGGGATAGCTTGGGGCAGATTCAGCAGCAGAGGCGGCAAAGGAACTGTCCCCTCCCTTTCCATGAGAGAGGGAGGTGGAAAGGAAGGACAATGTGAGACTGACCTTGAGGGCAGGAATCTCCACACTGTCTCCGAGGCTGATGGAGCCGGACAGGATGGTCCCAGTCATCACCGTGCCTTGGCCTTTGATGGAGAAACAGTGGTCCACGGACATGAGGAAGGGGCCCGAGGGGTCTCTTGTCGGGATGGAAATCTGGGACTTCAGGAGCTAGAAGAGAGACGCTGCTGCCACCAACAGTTGGACAAGGGGCAGAGGGGCTCAAGGCTATGGCCGTGTGGCCAGATGGCGTTCAGCAAGGTCACTGAGGCGAGGCCTGACTGGGGGGACTGCACCCTGGCAAGCCGGCCAGAGTTGGCAGCCCACTCCCTGACTGTGCCCCAAGCTTCTGCTGGGCTGCTGCTCCCTCCACTCGGCCACCCCAGCCCTCCTGATGGCACTCCTGAAGTCTCCACAGCTGCAAAGGACACCTGTCATGGGACCTACTGAGGCCTGCAGGACCTAAGGTCCCACAGTAACCAGTCCCAAGGTGCCAGGCACCCGCCCCACAACAGGCTGGAACCTCAGCAGCAGCCCAGCAGCCCTCCTCCCTCCCTGGGAAGCTGTCCTGTCCGACCGTGTTCCGCCCCATCACCACAGTTAGCACACTGGTGTGGTCACCTCTTTATCTGTCTCCCTGTGAGGATTCTAAGTTTCCCTGGTAGTGCACCAACCGGAGGAAAGGACAAGCGAAGGAAGGACAAGAGGACTCGATGGGGAAGAAGGGAAGGTGGTTCCTGGAGGTGCTGCCTGGGCCTGGGGATCCAGAGCAAGAGCTGTTCGGGGTGACCAGAGCCTTCCCATCACTTCTCTGGGCCCCTGTAGGGACAGAGGCTGGTCCTGTGTCCCCACATTCTGGCTTGTGCCTTTCCCCCACTGCTGACTTCCCACACACTTCGGCCAGCCAACTCTCCTCAGGCATATATGCGCTCTGTGATGTGGCCAGTGCTGATTACCAATAAACAAGTGAACACAAACATCCCTTATGCCTTCCATTGTGCTACTTTCTGATTTCATACAGGATCAGGCTATCAAAAAAGTATTTAGAGCAGAGTGTGCCAGTTCCAGTCTTGTGATAACAATCCTTTCAGAAAAAGACTGGAGCTCCCAAGCAGGCCTGGTCTGAGGCACATGCAGAGGCCTCTTAAAGGAAAGGACAAACATCATTCAGAGCCATGTTTTTGTGGATTGTACTTAAACAAAAACAACTGTTCCCAGCTCTCAGACAAGTGCGCTTGGGAGCTGAGGAAGAGGTACCAGAAGTCTTACCAGAAAACATTTGGTTTGCAAGGCAGGCCAGATCAGCACCATGTGAATTATGGAGGTCACACCTGATGTGACCTTGGGTCTGCAGGTCCAGGTGCAAGGGGACCATGAAGCTGACCCTGACAACCAGCCTTCATAGCGTATGCTGTGAGGGCTGGGCCAGGCCACTGAGGCTGTCTGAGTCTCGGGCACTTCCATGGTGAGACGGGGATGAATTGTTCAGATCTCCCAAGATGGCTGTGGATGTTAGTGATCACCTCTGTGGAGGACTCAGTCCCTGCCACAGCAAGCACAGGCATGGTGCTTTTCTGTTGACCCATTTAATCCTCCCCACAACACCCCCGGGGTCAGTGCTTCTGTCTTCCCTCCTTTACCAGTGAAGACCCAGAGGCAAAGGACAACAGGCCCCTTGCCCATGGTCAAAGAAAGAGCAGGTGGCAGGCCAGGCTAGAATGCAGTACCCTGGGTCAGGCACCTGGGCACCTCTGACCCTCTCAGCACTCACAGAGGAGGTCTTCGGGACCCACCCTCACTGCCATCCTCTAAGGTACCCACCAGCACCCTACACACCCCTCCTGCTGGCTGCCTTGGACACCCCAACCCCTGCTGCAGCCGAGTCTGGAGGAACGGCCTAGGCCTCAGGCCACTGCCAGTGAGCGGGGACAGAAGTTGTGCTGCCCCAGATATGGCCCAACTGGCTGCAGCCCAACCACCATAAGGGCTGACACAATCTGAGGCCAGGAATGGGGGATCCGGCCTCAGGGCTCCAGACTCCTGGGCACTGCTTCATCTGGGTGGAGGCAGTGACAAGAAGGAAAAAGGGAGCCACAGGAGGATGTGTGGCCTCTGCAGAGCCTTGGGCTGTGGGGCCTCAGGGCTCTCAGTCTTGGCTACTCTTTCTGCAGGAGGTGAGAAGCTGCACGTCCCTTCTTTCTTCCAGTGACCAGGGAAGTTAAGGGAGCCAGCCAGGTCTCCATTGGGTGCTTGGGGGGGGGTGTTGTTGGGGTTTCCCCTCTCCCTCAGGGCAGGGTGGCCATAAGAGCCCACCTGAGCAGGCTGGGGTTAGGGGGACCTGGGTTCAAGCAGACAGTACCTCAATGAGCTCTGAGATTCCCTGTGGAGCTTCCGTTTCAGGGGCCTCGGGTCCCCCAGGTTTGGCTGCTACAGGTATAATCGGAGCACCCCTGAACCTGCAATGGGAAACCAAGCACCATCACCATCACAGAGCGCCAGCATGGGTACAGAACACATCTGTGGAGTCCCTGCAAGCCACCACGCAGGACGTCCCTCTGTGCAGCACCACTGTCCTCGCACTCTGCAGAGAAGGACACGGAGCCCCAGGGAGAGGCCTGGCACTGGGGCATTGGAGTCTAAGAGGCCTTTTAGTTCTTAAACTCTACCTCAGAGGCCTCCCAAGGAAGCAGCAGTGCCCCAGCCCAGCAATGACCAGTGCCCAGTGCCGGCAAGCCCACAGGTGCAGCCAGAAGCCCCCAACATGGTGTCTAATGGCAGCACCCTGGCAAAACCCAAGACAACAGTAACATGGTTAAGAAAAAAAAGGAAAAGAGAAAAAACTCATCCTATCACTATGGGTCTCCCATATGGTGTCAAGGGATCTTTTCCTATTTTTCATATGTAATATGAAATATTCCATATCCTATTCCTCAAAAGAACTAGAGAAAATAATCCTAAAATTCATATGAAACCAGAAAAGACCTGGAATAGCAAAAGCAAACCCAGGCAACAGAGCAAAGCGGGAGGCATCACAATTCCAAACTTTGGGTTATATTACAAAGCTACAATGATCAAAATTGCATGGTACTAACACAAACACAGACACATGGATCAATGGAACAGAACAGAGGAGCTAGAAACAACCTCAGGCACATTCAGCTATCTGATCTTTGACAAAGGGGTCAAAAACACACACTGGAGGAAAGACAGCTTCTTTAATAAATGGTGTTGGGAAAAATGGCTATCCATAGGCAGAAGATTAAATCTAGACCCATATCTCACACCATGTACTAAATTAAAATCAAAATTGATCAAAGATCTAAATGTTAAAACAGAAACAATCTGCTGGAAGATAAACTAGGTAAAAATCTGGAAGACATGGGTGTAGGCAAGGACTTTCTGAACAGAACACCAATAGCATAAGAAATAATATCAAGAATCAACAAATTGGATCATATCAAATTAAAAATCTTTTGCACAGCAAAGGAAACAACCAACAGAGTGAAGAGACAACCTACAGAATGGGAAAAAAATTTTGCTAGCCATTCCTCAGAGGATTAATATCTAGAATATATAAAGAACTAAAAAAACCTCAGACTGTCCCAAAAATAAAAGACCCAATCAAAAAATGGGCAACTGAAATGAATAGACATTTCTCAAAAGAAGTTCAAGTAGCCAACAAGCACATAAAAAAATGTTCAACATCTCTGGCCATTAGATAAATATAAATTAAAACAATACTAAAATTCTATTTTATTTCTGAAAGAATGGCTATCATCAAGAAATCAAATAATAGGGCCAGGGATTTAGCTCAGTGGTTCCGTCGCCTGCCTCACAAGTGCAAGGTCCTGAGTTTGATCCCCAGTACCAAAAAAAAAGAGAAATCAAATAATAACAAATACTGGAGAGACTGCAGGGGAAAAGGAGCCCTTTTGCACTGGTGGTGGGAATGTAAACTAGTACAACCACTTTGGAAATCAGTAAGGAAACGCCTCAAAAAACTGAAACTAGAAATTCCATTTGACCCAGCTATTCCCCTTCTAGGTATCTTTTTTTTTGGTACTGGGGATCAAACTTGGGACTTTGTGCTTGTGAGGCAGGCGTAGAACCACTGAGCTAAATCCCCAACTCCCTTTCTAGGTATCTTTCCAAAAGAGTTAGATATCGGGCCTGGGATTTAGCTCAGTGGTTTTGCCGCCTGCTGCGCAAACACAAGGATCCGAGTTCAATGCCCGGTACCAAAAAAAAAAAAAAGAGTTAGACATCATACTACAGTGATGCATACCCATGTTTATAGCAGCACAACTCATATGAGCTAAATCTTGGAAGTGGCCTACATGTCCATCAACAGATGAACTGTGGTATCTATACCCAGTGTAGTGCTACTCTGACATAAAGAAGAATAAACTTGAGTCATTGGGGCCGAGGATTTAGCTCAGTGGTTTCGCCGCCTGCTGTGCAAGCACAAGGACCCAAGTTCAATCCCCCGTACCAAAAAAAAAAAAAAAAAAAAAACTTGAGTCATCGGTAGGAAAATGGATGTACCTTGAGACCATAAGTGAAATAAATCAGACACACAAACTTAAATATTGCATGGTTTTTCTTATATGAGAAACCCAAAAATATAAATAAAGAGCAAAATAAAGATTGATAGTAAGAAATAGGGAGAGAGGTCTTTTACAAATGGGAGGGGGACCGAGATATGGAGGGAGGGATAAGAGGGGCAAGAAGGGTAATGAAAAAATAATTGAGATGTGTTATGCACCTGTACCAACCCCCCAAGAGGAAGATGATCACTATGTACTGCAAACATGGACTAATAACAGAAATTAAAAAACAAATTTTAAAAATTTAAAAAGAGGTATTTCACACACTATTGTACATGTGCAATTTTATATCCTGCCAACTTATTTATCAACGCATCATGGAGACTTTTCCCTTGAATGACAGTAATGACAACAACAGTAATTACACACTTGGCCAAGCCAAGCATGTGACACGGATGCTTTCATTTAGGCCTCACCACAGCGCTGTGGTGCTGTCGTCACCTTACAGAGAAGAAAATAAGCTATTCATTAGAGAAGCTAGTTAACTTGCTCTATGTTGCGGGTTATAACCCTCAGAGCCAGATTTGAGCCAGGTCGTTATAAGTGTGGTACCAGGGCTTGTGACCTCTATGTGACATGCCCCCTTTCCAGATTCCTCTTTATTGTTGACAGCTATCTAACAGTGTGATCCCAAATTTTCCCCAAAGTGACTTATTTATAATATCCCAAATCTCCACCATTTATAAACCACACTGATAAACACGTCAGGGACATGACTGACTTTTTCTTCTGTCTCTTGGCTTTGGGACACATTCACAGGATATAACCTCAGCCTGAGTATACACTGAAAGGTCAGCAGATGTGGTCAAGTCCCAACAGCCAAAAGGCCTCTCCTCCCAGGCAGTGATGGGAACACTGGTTAGGAGGACTTCGTCAGCCTTCCCAGAACTCTGGAACAGACCAAAGACTGAGCTGTCCGCACAGTGTCCTTTCAAGAGAGATGACAGGTGGGACCCAGGACATGTTAACCTGTCTTTCCCATTCACCCTCCCCAACTCTGTGGTATTCTTGAAACCCAACTGCCACAACCACAGTGAAACCAGCAGCTGTAGGCAGTGGGGGCAGTGTGGGTTTCAGTTTCTTCAAAGCCCCTGTCCCAGAGAACTGCCTCTGTTCTTCCTGTGGGGTGGCTCCCTGGAAGATCCCACCAGCAAGGCTGCCTCTGTCTAACCTGTTTCTCAACAGCCTCTCCAAACACCCTTGTCTCTGGGGAAAACACTGAGAATAATGAGAGGCAACTGTTTAACACCAACAAAGTGGAAGATAACAGTTCAGGCCAACAGTAGGCTGCCCAAAAAGCTTAACTATGAAAGCCAGGACCGAGCTGTCCTTGGAGGGTGTGGGAAATCATGCTGTGGCTCGCTCAGGGGCTAGCTTACCCTCTGGCTGACCTCAAGGCTCTGTGCAAGCAGGAAGTAAAGCTCAGGCAGAGCTGTCAGCTGCCTACATGAACACTCACAGTGTGGCTCAACATGCACGTAGACCCTCTTGACCAGGAGATGCACTCCAGGCATGGAGGGAGTCTCTGTCCAATGAGCTGGCCACTAAATAACCAGGCAAAGACTTCAGGGGTCACCCATGACAATGAATACAGACCTCACACCATTCATTCAAAACAGTTACTAAATAAAATGTAACAACAAACTGTGGGGGGGGGGGGGTCCTGACTGACTTCCAGGACTGTCACATTATTTTAAATGCCTAGGTTGCAAAAGAAATTTACAGCATCCACAAAGAAACAAGAGTACAGCCCATATGTGAGAAAAAGAGTTAAAAGAAAGTGTTCCTGAGGAAGCTCTACCAGACAAAGACTTTAAACCAGCTATTTTAAGTGGTTTTTAAAAAGTAAAGGAACCATGTCTAAAGAACCAGAGGTAACAAGTAACAGGATCTATCTCACCAAATACGGAAAATCAAAAAAGAGTTAGAAATTAATTTTTAAAATATAAAACAAAGAGAAATTCTAGAGTTGAAAATAATAACTGAAATGAAAACAGCTCGGCAACAGCCCTGAGCAGGAAGAATCAGCAACCTTACAAAGAGGCCAGGTGAGATCAGGTGCATAAACATGAGATGCCATCAAGTGAACAGCAGAAGCACATGAATTTCCTGCAGGCAGGAAGAGAAATGGGGCAAAAAGGAACCTGGGAAACCACGGCCCAATATGCCTCACATCTGGGAAAAACACTACTCTGCATATCTGCAATGCTGCAAGCTCCAAGAAGGATAAACTCACAGAGAGCCACACCTACACATGTCACAGCCTGTCAGAGGCCAAAGACAAGGAGACAATCCCAAAACATTCCAAGAGAAGTGACTGTGTTTGTACACAGAGCCACAGTGGGAGACAGCTCAGAAGAAATCTTGGAGGACAGAAGATGACCGGATGGCCTGAAAGTTAAAAGAAAATAAAGTCTGTCAATCAAGGAGCCCATACCCAGCAGCAAACTACACTTTTTGAGTGGAGAACACAAGATTACATACAAGTGACCCAGCAATGCCACTCCCAGGCCTACCCCTGAAAGAACTGAAAACAGGGACCCAGAAAAATACACATCAACACATACTCACAGCACATGCTCACGGGAGCCAAGACGAAGACAGCTTGGATGTCCATCACAGACTCTGGTGTGCATCTACACAGTGGGGCAGTACCTGACCCAGGAAGGAGTAAGGCACAGAAACATGCTTCTGTGTGCATGAACTTCAAGAACACCCTGTGAAGGCAAGACACCAGACACAAATGCCCCCTGGGAATGTGGACAGGTAGTTCCCAGGCTGGTGGACAGGGAGTAGGGCAACAGTGGCATGAAGGATGCAGGGTTTTCCTTCAGAGACCATGAGAGCTG